TTTTTTGTTGATTTTTTCCCCCATCTCCTTGCATGGCGAGTCTGCCTTTGGGTCTACACCTAACAATCTATGAAACTTTGGCCATAATACCTAATTTAACAAATCACCGAAGACTTGTTATAAAAATGAATTCATTTGTCACACATTCAAGAACAGGCTACAGACAGGGTAGATTGCAATATATACATTTATTTGACAGAAAAAACAGGCATTGTAGCTCTCATTGAAGTAATGCCAGTTTAATTACAGCTGATTCCATATAGTGTAACGGGAGTGCAAAGTATAGAGAGAGGTGACTCTTTGTCCATGAATTACTTAGCAGTAACTGGATTCACATGCTTAAGTGAGAAATGCATCTGAGATCAAACAGGATCAAAGCATCCAGAAGAACTGCTACAATTTCATGCCTCGGGAGATTCTTACAGCATCCTGTGTATACATACATACATACATACATACATACAAGCATGTATTTGTACTAAGTCAGGTTTTTTTTAAAACATTTTTAAATCATATACTCATTGGTGTTTACATTTTTTCTTTACATAAGAGACAGTAAATCAAGAGTGACACACATCTGTAGCAGTAACTGTATCTGACTGTGCTAGCATGACCTATCAGTAATCTCTACTCCTCAGGTGCTTTATGATTGGTTGTCAGCAGATCTGTTGTACATCTCAGGTTTCAGCATTAAACTTCAACCAACACGTCAGCATTGTGCCAAACTGGATTAAACAGGTACAGTGTATATCTGAGAGTGTGTGGTTATTTTTATTGTACTCATTCATTACTATAAATAAATACAAAGGACTTGAAGTATATACATGGTTTTCTATCTCGCTCACGCTCCTCATTTATAGCCAGAAGTGACGACTGACCCGTGACATTTAAAGAAAATTAAAGATTGAAGGCCAACTTTGAAACTAACACTTTCTCTGGTAATACCTAACAGCATGAAGGTTAATCCAAAGCAAATCTATCAACAACCTAAAAGAGAGAGAGAGAGAGAGAGAGAGAGAGAGAGAGAGAGAGAGAGAGAGAGAGAGAGAGA